ACAACTCATGATAACAAACAGAGCAAAGTATATTTATTTTCACATGTTCCCTGAACATATATGACCTTCCTGGAAGGAAAGCCACTCTTGTCAAATAAGACATTCATCCCTTAAAAACTAATTTCTCCATCGTAGGTTCAGGTCTTAAAAATCAGTTGGGTTCCTCAGTTACAGATGTACAGGACATTACATCTGGACTCTCCTAGGAGGGCAGGGGTGAACTCTTCCTCTGAATATCCACAGTAGCCAAATGACTCCTTCTCCCATTGTGGAAAACCACAGATGACTGTCTCCTAATGATTTACTGCCCAACCCCCAGCCCACAAATCAAAGAATTGGGTTTAGTGAGAAATAAGAATGGTGGCCAGTGGCTACAAGAAGCGGAGGGAATGTTTCAGTTTATTTTCTTAAGCCAATTAATGATGAAACGGCATGGAGGGAAAGAAAGACACAACATGGTCATAAAAGACTATTTTTCCAGATAAATGGCCAGATATCAGATTCTGTAATAAGTACTTCCACCTATCAAAACACACACACACACACACACACACACATTAACACACACATAATATTAAGAAAATATAGATCTTAAAACACAAAGTAATATTCAGAAACCCTTATGGATATCACCATAAAATGAAACTTCGAAGGACCCTTGGAAATCAACGAATCTGGACATTGCAAACCCTGCAAACTATATATTGCAGGCAGAGGTGTTTGGTTGGGCCTGCGGAATTTTTTAAAATTGAATCAACATTTTATAAAGTAGAGAAAAATTACATAAAAACCCAGATTTGTGGCTTCTCTTAAAAAGTAGAAGACCTGGCGACCCTGAACCCCCTTGCCCAAATGGTAACAGTGAGCTGTAGCTGAAAAGAAGCTGCTGCCTTTAGAGGAGGCTTGAACTGCCAGTTTCCCACCATCTCCACCACTCCCTCTTGTTCTGAAATACAAAGACTAGGTATCGAAAAATTCAATAAAAATAGGAGAGAGCTTAAGGTTTGCACCCACCTTGCTTCACTAATTTATGGTACCTGCAAATCTACAAGCTCTGCTCTAGTCCAATCCATTCATTTAAAGAGAAGCAACCCAGCCACAGTAGTAAAGTGACTTATAAACTCATTCCATTAAAAGTCACATTTTCATTCAGGAGGGCGTATTGTCTAATGACAACTAGAGATTATGCAAAACTAAATTTGGGCTGTGTAGCTATACAATGCCACAATCTGTGGCGAAAAGTTGAAATCTCAATCATTTTATTTACACATTCCCCTCACCCCCACTCCAAATAAAGGGCAAAGGAAGATGCTCAAGTTTTGAGAACAAATTTCCTGCCTAGTTTGGCTTGGTACGGACAGTTTTCATGTGCCCAAATTTTAGATATGACTTCCTTTCATTCTGAGGGCATAATTTATTGAGAAGACATACAAAGTGCTTACTGTAGACATGCAAATACTTTTACGAAGGAAACTGGATAAAAACATTGAACAGGAGGGGGAAAAAGGGTGTTTCTTCTTCAGAAAATTTAACTGATAAATTATAAGGAAACTGAAACTGACTAAGATTTATTCAGTGATTGCATGTGCCTTAGGTACTTTGCACACATTATACCAATTAACTCTCAGAGTAGCCCAAGGAGGGTAGTATTATTACTCCCGCTTCACAAGTAAAGATGCTAGGCCTCAGAGGCATTCAGTAATTTGAAAAGGACCTGACTTTTCAATCAGAGATCATGCGCATATTCAAACACTGATGTGTACGTTTATAATGCTTATGAGAGTAGGGAACATGGTTTGCCCATGCACAGGGCCTAGCACATCGATATTTGTTGTGTAAGCCTGCCCATCGCCAAAGCCCAAAAACTGCTATGTACAAGCACTTTCATTCATAAATGTCATCATTTGAACAACCTTGACATATACAACTAATTCATTTAGGCAGGTTCTTGAACAAGGTTTAGGAAACGTTGGTTCTTTATGTTGTGTACTTAATGATCCCTACACACGTGTTTACTAAGGTAATAAAATCTCTTTTCTAAATAAATTTCTCATTTAGAATTGTTATAAGAGTCAATAGTCAAGAATTTGGCTGAATTTACTAGCCAAAAGCATGTTTGCTAATGAATAAGAATAACAACTAATATCAAAATAAGAATTAATTCAAGAATGTGCGATTTTGAAGAGTCAGGAATTTGATTAAAAATTCAGTTCCCTTTTTTTTCTATAATGAACAGTTCTTTAACCACAAAACAGCTTTTATAATAATGCCGACGAGTATGGTTCCAAGCAAAACACTCCCCCATTTTAATCATGGTTATTATTTTTGAAAATGAAAATGGCTGAGGTCGTTGTAATCTATTTTAGGGTTTGCATGGGTTGATGGTATTTTTGTCTTGGCTTTGAGTTCTCCACATTACCCACTAAATGTTATGGGTTTTGCTGTGTGCCCTTTCAAATCCCATTCTTTCTAATAACGTTATACTTTATACACATAAATTAGAGTAAATTCCACTTTCTTTCCTAACAACTCCAGATGTGGTCCACACTTTCAAAAGGACTAGAACTTGCCTTTAAAAAAAAATTCAGTATGTACTTCTTAGAACAACTATGTTTCTGTATAGATAAAAATGCTGTATGGATATTTAAACGCTAAGTAATTAGTAAAACCATAGGACTTGTGGTTTTTTCACCAAAGTGAAATATGAAGATAATATCTGTATATGTACTTCTTCCAACTTACAAGGACACACACAGATAAAAAAGTGCCTAGAAACAAAACCATCTGGGCAGAGTTCTAGACCTACTGATACCAATAGGGAAGGGGGGGTCTGTATTCAGACAACCATTTAGGACACATCAGTGAAGCTCTCTGTCCGCTGTAGACCCAGTAGACAAAATTATCAAATATCTAAATGTACTAAAGTTACACAGTCAAGGCTCCCTTTAGACGCAGTTAATATTTCACTGACTTTCCGAACTAAGTTGGGGTTTTTATTATAATTCACTATGAGGTCACACAGAACAGCCCACAATCCCTCTAAGTAGCCCCTACACAGCCACACGTAGGAGAATGGCTTCACAATACATACAAATTGTGGAGATCTGGTTATTAAAATGCCTTGAGATCTATTTGTTTATTTTCTTAAAATCAACTTGCAAGGCCAATGTAATAAGATGCTGTAGCTTTTATGAAAGAGGTGAAATAATTTTAAACACAGACACACAATGAGTTTATTTATTTAGAAACTTGTTAAATAGAGTCTGGGAATTCAAATATTCAATGTTGACATTGTACAGAATTGGCAAGAAGCCAGAACCCAGTCTCCAGAGGGACCCACTGGACAAGGAATTCAGGCCTTTCTCTCCTCCCACTTGAGCTAAATAGGTAGAAGCCATTAGTTATACCCACAGCAATATCTGAACCACACTCAAATAAGCTGCCCCAGCCAGGGCACTTCAAAGGAGGCTAAGTGTGTTTAGGTTTTTAGTGCTGAATTAGAGCAATATGTCACACTTTTGAAAGAGTCTTGTAAACAGTTTCTTCCCTATGTAGAGACATCTCTGAAGTTTCTTGTATGGCATGTAGTAAGCAAAGGTAATTAACAAGGATTATACTTTTTTCATTTCCTGGAGGGGCTGGGTAGGATAATACCAATCTGTGTGCAAACTAAGGATCTGAAAGAACTACACCATTTCTCTCTTCCGGTCTCCCTCTCTGGTTTTCTGATCGATTTGTCTCTCTCCTCTTTATCCTCTTCCTCACACTTTTTCTCACTATACAGCCAATCTCCTTGAAAATTCCCTGGTAAACTCTGAAGGCCAGAAGAGTGGGAAGGGGGAAATCTAATTTTAGAAAGAAGACAGTGGCTAGTGGAGTGGGGAAGTAGGGAGGGAACTAATGATTTATCCTGGGCCGTCCAGGAGAAAAGAAAAGCAGACCCTACAGACCATTTTAGAAAATGCCTAGACAGCGGCTTCCAGCGGAAGAAGGGTTAACCGTCACTCCAAAAAAATGTATCTGGCATCATCAGAGTGTAACTGTTCCCTCCCGACCCATCTCTTCCCCAAACCCATTCTCCCTTGCTCTACGAGGCTGGGAAGGAGCCTGTCCCAACGGGGAGAGTGAATGAGTGAGTGTGTGTCTGCCCTCTGCACAAGAGTGTCCCTCGTCTTCCTGAAGCCAAGACGTGTGTGGGTGAGCACGCGCATGTGTAGGTGTGAGTTTACACTGTCAATGTAAACCCAGCTCCGAGGGAAGCAGCGCGCCAGGCACGCAGCCCCTCTGAGACTGGAGAGGCGAAGAAGAGTTCTGGCCAAACCTTGGAGCCCTGAGCTGAGCAGCCTGAGGAGCGAGGTGTAGGGGGCCGTCTGAGTGAGCAACTGCCTCCCATCTCACTGGGGCTTCCCCAGCCCCACCCCCACGTCCATCTGGGGCCACTTCCCCGGCACCAGACGGTTTTGAGATGAAGCGTGGGAGGGCTCAGCTCTTGGGAAAAGGGCTCTGGGTGCCTTGGGAACAGGGAAAAAGCCGGTGACCAGGAGATGACAAGTCAAGTTTCTCCATCTCACCGCCCGCTTCCAGCGGAGGCAACGCGCAGGGGGGTGCCAGGAGAGAGGGGGGTGAGCCGGGCGTGCCGGGGGCAACTCCGCTCTCTTGTCCTTCTAGCCAGGGGGGATGGAGCCGGGCGTCCCCCCTTCCTGCCCCAGGTCACGACTGCAGCCTTGGACAACCTAGCCCCAACTTACAAAAATAAAATAAACTCCCAAACAGTAGTAACATGTTTAAAGAGAAATTGCTTACGACTCCTTACCTTCAATTCCAAAAAAAAAAAAAAAAAAGAGAGAGAGAGGAAAGAAAGAAAGAAAGAAAGAAAGAAAGAAAGAAAGAAAGAAAGAAAGAAAGAAAGAAAGAAAGAAAGAAGAAAAACCAAAATTCGTGGAATGACATGTTAATTTCTAGTCTTACACGTTGAATGTCTGTCCCTGCAGGAAGCCGGCCCCAGGGCTTAGGGGAGGCCTTGGCTCAGAAAGCCTGGAAGCTGGGCTACCCGGCAAAAGTCACACTCACTCACACTCATACATACACACACTCACATGCACTCTATAGCCAATACCTACGACTCTGCAGTCCCTACAAATAAAAAAAGAAGCCTTGCTTTTTAGCCTTTCTGCCTCTACAGCTAATGAACCGTTGCCTTCCACAGTGCTGGAGATGAGGGAAGAATGAAAAGCGTAATTAACCTTCCCCTAAACACAGATTTTTTTTTTTTTTTTTTTTTTTTTTTTTTTTTTTTTTTTGGCAAAACACATCAAAATACTGCAAGAAGACTGTGCTCCAAGTGCCAAATGCAATAAAGAAGCCCTAAGCCAGGGTAATGGTCAAGTAATGGCAAATAAACCGCCTTCCTAGAAGGGGCCTCGGCCTCCATTGGGAGAAGGATTTTCCTCCTCAGAAGCCATCTGAAATAAACAAATAAACGTATTTTTTAAAACAAAGCTCTGTTTTCGTCTGAGTTTCTTAAGGATGAAGGAAAACCCAAGTAGGTGGGCATACAGAGAGTGAATGCCTGAATCTGGGTGTTGTGTTTGTTGTTGTCGGGAGGTTGTTTTGTTTTGTTTATCTTAGGTACTGGGCTGACAAGGTGAGTAGTTTAAGGACGGGAGAAAGGGTTGGCATCTACCTTTCCTACTTCAGGGCCTTTTTTTAAACAGAGAGCAAGTGTAGAAGCAACAAGTGCCCCCCTCCCCGCGGTCTTGCTAATCGCATCGCCTTTTGTGACTTTATGAGACTTCTGGGGGGCCGGTAGCTAAGGGAGTTACTGGATGCAACTCGTTCTCTGCTGTGACTGAATTCCCGCGCGTTGTCACTTTGGGGAAGTAAGGTAAGTGTGGCTTCGCTGTTTCAGGCTTTAGACATGCTGGGCAGACCCAACCTGCGCTTCCTTTCCATCCGTCAGGACCATAGCAACTGGCATTTCAGGCACGGCCCAGGTGCTATCCTAGCTGCCCGAGAAAATGGCTGGGAAGTCTCCCCGCGCTGCCAGAGTCGGCTTGGCTTTTAGTTTTCTTTTCTTAAAGATGGAAATAAAATTCAGGGGCGTTAGGCACTGCAAATGTCAATCTTCCTGCCTTTTATTTTATTTTTAATTAAATTTTTTAATCTTCCCAAATGACTTACAACGAATTTATTGGTTTCAACTATTGTATTAAAAACAAGCCCTACAAGTTGGAAACTGTGTTGTGCATTCAATCTCGGTGTAGATTCAGCAGGTATTTTCAGGGTCCGTGGTCTCTGGTCTAGGTCCATGGGCTCCTGCACTGTAGCCAAGGCCAAATCAGGACTTAAGACCACCAAAGAAATTTACAAAAGACAAAAAGAACTACAAGCTGACGAGAAAACAACTATTTATATGTAATTTGTTTCCATTGTAATGGTTTTTTTTTTACCACAATAAAAGTAGTTTTGTTTTTTAAAGTATTGTGGTAACAACGCCCCTTCTAAACCCTGAAAAAGGAAAACTGGTGCAGAGCAGTGAAGTTTTCGTTGGATGATTGCACCGCAGGGGTCACCAACCATCTCCGCCACGCGCTACTGGGGGAAGGAAATCGCGCTTTAAAATACAAAAATCTGTAGTTTTAATATGATTTCCTTTATTACCCAGATTGTAACTGAAGAATTGCAACGCAGTGCTTCTGTCTGAGAAAGGCAGCTGCGGCAGCAACAGCTGGAGCAGTGCAAGCGGGAATCTGAGGCTCAGTAAAAGTTTGTAAGAGTTGAGATCTAGCTATCGGAAAGCGGCAGCGGCATCTTTAGGGACCCTGGGGACAAAATAAATGGGTCTCCCACCAGTTGAATGACAAGTATCATCAGATCGGAAACGAGGCTCAGTTTCTGGATGTTGAGTGGACTGTGCGTGCAGGAATATTTTAAGACGGCATCGTATGTCTTGCTTGGCAATTAAAATAGTTTAAAAAGCTGCTCAAGAAAATTCGAAGGGTTTTGTTTTCTGCTTTCACTTCGGAAGTTATGGGGCAGTGAGTTGCGGCGCGAAGCCTTAAGCTTTCATTTCACAACTTAGGCATGGTTGAAAAGGGCTACCCACCCCCACCAACCACCCCACTCCCGCTAACTCCCCCCCCACACACACACACACTCTCTCCCCCAACCTTTAGTCCAAATCGAAGCCCGCAAACCTCAAGTATATGTACATTTATTTCTCTTCAGATGAAAATAAAGACATCGGCCTCATTTAAAAGTAAACAGGGAAAACAGTTCCACCGGCGCCCTTTGACACTGCAGCAGCTAGTGTAAAGAACAATACCCAAAAGAGAAACAGATGGACTGATGACCCAGAGACCCCTATATTTAGGTTGATTTCTCAGACCCAGGGGAAAGGAAATGTATTGGGGAGTGTACGAGTGCTTGGGTGAGGAATGGACAAAGCACTGGAAAGGCGCCTGGGATGACAGCATCTCGCCGGGCTACACCGCCGACTCCACTGCCCGCGAAGCCGAGCCTGCCGAGGTGCCGCCGACTTTCCGGGCTGCTGCAGGGACGCAGCGAGCAGGGAGGCGTGGATACGATACCTACCGTACTTGGTTCTAATGTTCGAGGGTCGCGCGGGGGGAGACAGGGATTTCACTGGGGAGAAGCATCCCACCCACTTCCCATCTCTCATTTTGCCTTCCGTAAGCAACACAATTAGAGAGTTCTGTTTTCGGCGAGTGCGAGTGTGGGAGAGCGAACGGCGGCCTGTCCACTCCCGAGGCAGCTCCAGCCCCGCGTATTGACACCTCAAGGAGGAGCGCTCCGAGATACTTCGGGGCTCGGCGCCGCTGAGTCCCCTTCAACTCGAAGTAGAAGCATTTGGACAAACGCAGCCCTGTCGCCTACAGTCCTGGCGGAGCATCACAACGTGTGGGAAAGTGTGGGCCCCGCCGGCAAAGCCAGGCGAGTCATCCAACACTTTTGCTGTAAGAGTGGGGGATGGGTGTCCCACCGCCCCCGCCCCAAACCCCTTCGCCCACATCCCGCCAGACCAAGGCCGCTCCGCGCCGGGCAGGCAGGGGGCGCCGGGGAGGGTTATTGACCCTGGACCCAGGCTGCATCCAGACCAAGCGCGGGAGGCTGCGCTGCGCCCTCTCCGCGGCCCAACGCTTTTGCAGCTCGCCCCCTGGGGGTTGCTCGGCGCCCAGCCAGTCCGAGGTGCGCGGGTCGCAGCGCGCCCTCTCTGCCTCCTGCTCCTAGGCTGCCGCCGCTGGCTGTGTGCCCTCCATTCCTAGCTCTCCGAGCGCTCGCTGGGCCTATTATCTCCCCACCTCCGAGCGCTCGCTGGGCCTCTTCTCTCCCCACCTGCACATGGCTCTGCAGAGCCGGTAGTTCTGACCTGCCGGTGCCCCCCGCCCCAGCCCGCGATCACAGCCCCCATCTTGGTGTTCCACATCCCCGCCGCAGTCCTCCCGCCGCGCAGCGCAGCGCGGGAGAGCATGGCCGAGCGCACAGCGCCCACTACCGCAGCCGCTGCTCGGCGCAGTCCACCCGACCGCCCGCGCAACTTCCAGCGGCCGCCCCGCAACTTTTCCCAACTCCACCACAGCCGCCCGCCGCCGCCGCCACTGTGGCTTTCTCTGAGCCTGCTACCCTGCCCAAACCCCAGAAACAAACGGAGGCTCGAAAGGGCTCCTTTCTCCTGCCCGGCCCCCCCATCCCCCGCGCCCCCCTCCTCCCACACCCGGGACTAGCTGGTTGGCCAGAGGCAACTCTCCCCCGCCTGGGGGGAAGGGGAGGGGAGGGGGAGACTTTCTCCTCTTCTCTTCCCCCCCACCCCACCCCTTCGCGCTCACTCTCGCGCTCTCTCCTCCCTCCCACCCCTAGTCTTTGCTACCCCCACCCCCACCCCCACCCCGGGGTTGCCACAGCTGGTCGGTGCGCGGGGCTGAGGGCTGCCCAGGCTCCTCCGACGCCCAACCCGGGAGCGAGAGCACGGGCGACCGGGGGCAGAGGCTGGAACCGGCAGGTTGCTGGGGCTGCGCTGCGCCTGCCCTCCACCCGGGGCCCCGGCCCTAGAGGCAGCCCGCGCTCCCTCCCGGAGCGCTAGAGACAGATATGCAAGATGGCAGAGGAGGGGGAAAAGCCAATAGAAAAGGGATATTGCACCTACTTGTGGCCAGTTTCCTTGCCCTGCCTTTGGATCTCATGCTGTGCCCAGTCCTGCAGCCGCTGGTGTGTGGTTGGGGCTTTTTTTTCCTGGATCCTTTCCTTCTTTTGCTCTCCCTCTCGCTCCCTCCCTCTCTCCTCTCTCTCTCTCTCTCTCTCTCTCTCTCTCTCTCTCTCTCTCTCTCTCTCTCCTGTTTCTCTCTCTCTCTCCTGTTTCTCTCTCTGTGTCTCTCTCTCTTCCACAGAGTCACTCTCTGTCTTTTCTTCTTTCACTCTCTCTCCCTCCCTCTCTCCCTTTCTCTCAATCCACACTCGCTATCTCTCCAGCATTGTCAGTTTGGACACCTTCGCACATGCGCGCTAGACGCCCCTCCAACATCTCAGCGCCGCCAAAAAAAGTTTGGAGCGATTTATCACTTTGATTTGGAGATCTTGTCAGATGGCAATCGCCGAGGAGGCGGAGAAAGGGAGCCGCGGGGAGGGCGGCGGGGGGCGGGGAGCGAACGCAGGGAGCCAGAGGGGAGCAGACACCTCGCCCAAAAAAAGGGGAGGGGGGAATTGAAAAGGCTTGGGCAGAGGATTGATTCCGTGTTAGAATCACCAATAAGCTTGTATCATGATTATTGTTATTGTTTTTCCCACTATAAATTGCAGACATTTTTCTATACCATCTATAAGGAAAGCAAGAAGCGAGGGGGGAAAAAAAACTTTAAAAACATTTTTTAAAAACCCTTCTGTTAAAGAACTAGAAGGGCTGGACCCTCGGCTAATAATCCAGGAGAAAGTGGGAATCATCCTGAACTTGAGAAATCTACTGCTGCCGCTGCTACTGCTACTGAAGCTATTGCGGCTTCCGCTTTCAGGGTTGTAAGCAGAATAAATAACTGGTTTTTTCCTCGATTTTAGCTGTAATACCAATGTTTGCTGCCATCCTTGGGACATTTCAGTATTATTTCCCTACCAACTAGTAATGATCACCCTTGATTCCCGGGTCCGGGCCAGCGCGGGCATTTGACATCCAAGACCTCCTGCTTTCCCAAAGGTCGGCTGTCACCTTCCGGCCTCCCCCACCGCTGCCCCGGTCGCCTCCCGATGCAGCTCAGCCTGCCTGCCATTTTCACTCACTCGCTTAAACCTACAACCTCGTGGTCAAAAGAAAGAAGAATAGGGGGGGAAATCACACACTCTTAAAAAAACACATTGTTGAAATTTCCTTTAATTACAGGATTTACCAATGAAGTGCCACTCAGAAATGGGAATTCCTATAGGGGCTAGCTGTGTACAAGGTATGAATCAATCCCAACTAGGTATAGATTTTCTTTTGGTACAACCTTCTTGCATTAAACAGTTTTGTTCAATACCTTCCATGTGCTATTTATGTCCCCATTAATATCTGTTGCAAATCCTGCCAGACACCATAAAAGAAAATTACAATCTTTTCAGTCTCGGTTCTGCAACAATACATCCTTGATGTTCAAGTTAAAGGAAAAGAAAAGCAGGTCCTGGGCATGAGTTTGGCAAAGACTGTGGAGGGGAAGGGGAATCACTGAGAATGCCCGGTTGTACCTGTTGGTATTTATTATCAAATCTAGGACTGCGGGTATGAGAGAGCAAATAGCAAGGTTCAACCCCAAAGGGTATCAATGGCCTACAAATCTCTTTATTCCAGAGAATCAAAGTTCAAAGAATTTGTCCTTGTTAAGGATGCTTACCATTTTCCTTTCTCCAGAGCTGTGTAATTCTGTGGGTATTTGACTGTAAGATAGAGGTCCCTGGAGAACCAAGTTACAGGTCTCAAGGGAGACAGATGTATAAGGTTGAAATGTGAGGAAGGGAAGTAGGAAGATAGAGGAGGGAATTACTCAGAACAGGAGTAAAACAACTTCCAAAAAAGAAGGCTCTAGTGCCCACACACGTGGGCACAACAGAACTCTATCATCCACCCTGAATTAAAGAGGCACTTGGGTTTTTTTCCAGACCTAGAATTCCTGCTGTCCTGTGCATAAAGGTGAGTGTACTAACACATTTGGTGTGTGCAAAAGCACCAGCCATTCCAACATTCTGTTAGGTTTTTACAGGTGTTTGACTAAAAGTTCCCCCAAAATGTGACTCCACCAGCTTCCCTCAGTTTAGATGGAGAAGTGCCTTCCCTCTGACCAGCAAATGTCCTCAGAGGAAAAGGAGAAATGGGGCTTGAGAGCTTTTGGAAGAGGGGACAAAATCTCTAGGGAGAGAAAAACATTAGGCTGACTGGCAAGAAGTTCATAAGGCTGCTTCTGATCGGTGTAAGGGACTCTCTAGGGACCATCCCCTAGGCCAGGGGACTGACCAGCAGCGCCTGAAGATCCCAGCTGTCAAAATCTAGAAGGTCTTGTCCCCCCAGTCCTCACCTTCCCTGCCAGACACCCAGGGGCAGCTGAGTACCTTGCCTTGGTGCCCAACCGCCAAGGGAGCTAAAAAAAAAAAAAAAAAAAAAAAAAAAAAAAAAAAAAAAAAGAAAGAAAGAAAGAAAAGAAAAGAAAAGAAAAGAAAAGAAAAGAAAAGAAAAGAACTGCCATCCTCCCCTCCACTCCTCCGGCTAACCCCTTTCACCTCATCCCCAGGGGGTCTGTCTATATCCGGGTTCCCCTGGAGACGGGAGGTTAAGAGGGGTGCAGGAAATGTTCCTAGGAAAGGAGGGGACCAAGGTACCAAACTCTGAGATTAAATGCAAGACCCACACGTGAAGCTGAGCTTGCTGTTGCTGCTGAGAAATTATAAACCACGTGGAGGGTTGGGGGGGTAGGGGGTGGGTTCTGTGAGGGGAACTGGGTGGGAGGTGGAA